GCATAGATGTGGATATTAATTCGGTGTCTTTTTAAAATAAATATTAATGTTATAATTATTTATTATTTATTCGTTGAATTAAATTTTATTATTAATAATATTATAATAATAATCTATTTTAATAATAATTTAATATTTACTATTATAATTAATAATATTTAGTAATAAATTATTAATATAATCTATCATTTTTCCTCAGATATTATAAAAGAATACAACACCAATCAATATTTTCCACATCCAATACTACTTTCTGAAACGTAACTGATAATGTTTATCTAATCAATACATCAAATTTTCATACTCATAAGATGAAGAAGTTACAAAATTGCGGTCGGAACACTTCTAACAAAAAAATTGCTTAACAAAAAAATCGTTATTTATAGTTAGTGGAGTTCGATATAGGGACCTGGGCACCCGATGAAAGAGTTCAACATCGAATGACGATAAAAATGGAAGAGCGACGGGAACTTTCCTGAACTCAAAACCGCGAAAGTGGTCACGTTAAAACCAAACCCCGAGGTATCTGGAAGTTGTGCGGACCTTTTGGGAATCGGTTTCCGACGATTTTTTGGACTTTTTCGTCTCTTTCAATTGTCCTTGATATATCGGAACGTTGACAGGGTCTCAGTAAAGAGATTTCCAACTAAACTTCACACAGAGATATTCGGACTTTGATCGGTTCTCACATTCACTAAAAAGGGATGGCGGGGAACTAGAGAATTTGAAACACCATGAAACTTTTCGTGTAATTATATAGTGTAATTCATTCGTAATCGGAAATCTGGTTTTTCTTCTCGGCATAGCACGAATTTAGGGGATAGAATCATCTATTCGAGAAAACTTTGTTTTCTCTTTCAATAATATGCCGCAAAATATTTACAACTTTGGATGAAAACAACTTTTGTAAAATTATACCTTTCATTTCATCTATTAACTCTTTGCCCTATATAATTTACTAGAAAACTGCAGAATAATAGTAGAAAAATAATTTATTTTCAAAGAAATTGAGCAATATTTATATTTACCAAATGTTGTTTAAAATCTTGACCGCACGTTCAATACGATATTACGAAGCAAGGGGTTAAAATGGAATTTATATACTTTGGTAATTGATGCAAAAGTATTTATTGATAAACTTTTTCGTACAGGTGTATTTATACGAAAGATTTACGTGTTATATATTTCTCTATATAAGTTAAATTTCTATTATCGGTTCTAAAGTCCGTTTCAACAACCTTTGAATTATGAATTCCGTAAATATTAAACATTAAGCAAATCACTACGTATCTGCAATTCCATTAGAGATAATACACATTAAAACTAATTAATGATATGTTTATATCACAATAACTACGCATACATACATACATGAATATTGCGTTACGGTAGCTCAGTATAATTATTGAGTGACTTCATGAAAATTGATTCACCGAAAACTTATTAATATTGAATTTAATTATATCGTATTTAATATAAGGCGGTGGTTGACATTTGCAATTGTTCTGTATATTACTTGTTATTGAATTCTACATTAGAAGAAATATACGAATGGAAAACAGTAAGTAGATTACTATTGAGAAAACTACGTTTACTTTCGAATTTCAAAACGTCGATTGAGCTTCTACAAAAACCTGCAAACAAAAATAACAAAAAGAGTAGAAAAATGTATAATACAGATAGTAATAACAAACAACCACATTTGACAAGATTTATATCAATTAAAGTACATTCACCAAGCATCAAGAGACTTTAACCTATAAGATATTTTATTTAAAAGACGATCCTAACGAGCCAAAACTTTTTTTTGGTTTATATCGAAAATTTAGGAAAGAAGAAAACGATTGGCAGCTGAAAAATTAACACTGCAGACAAACCAATGCAGGTTTCAATTTGCATATACCTTTAATTCATAATTTATTTGAAAATGATCGTATTTCCATGGCTAGATATTAAATTATATGCCTGGTGTGTAATTGGTCGTGAATGATTTAACCCCTTCGTGTGTGATATACTTCTCAACTATGAACATTACAACTACTTCGCCATTAACAATTTATAAAAAAAGATCAAAATTCTAGGCATATTCTGTCTATGTTTACTTTAAGGTATAATTATTGATGACAGAAAAATAATGTTTAATTTGAATTCAATAAACTTAAGTAATTCTTATGCTTGCTAAATTCTCTTTAAAATCTGCACTACGTGTGTGACACGTTGTTGTAAGGTAAAGAGTGAACCCGTTCCCGCCAGAATCGTTAATAGACGAATACCAGTGTTTATAAAACGACAAACCTCCTATAAGTTTAAAAGAACCGAAGAAGGTGCAAAGGGTAAGCTATCATGGCAGAAATAAAGGAAACGGAAAGGTAAAGCCGAAAAGAAAACTCAGGGATGAAGAAAAGAAAATAGGGGAATGAGGTATGGGTGTGCGAGTAGCGGCACCAGGGATGATATTTTCGTGGTAAAATCCGTCTTTTTCTCACGTTTCCTTTTTTTCTACCTTCCTTGGAAAACCCGCTGCATCCCTGAAAAAGATATCGTCGGACGAAGACACACCCCTTTATACGGCACGTGCGAAACCGTCGCGAAGGCAGGCATCTAACGTGGCGGCAACGATTTTCCAAGGAAGCAGACCATTCACCTTTTACGTGCATCACGTCCCCCGTGTAAACGCATTTTATAAACTCGCCGTTTCGCATGCACATGCGTGAAGGTACAGTTATTATTGTATGGAAATATGAAAGTCATTCGTTATTTGAGAAGACGTACATAGCTTGTTAGCCGAGAAGATTAAAAATTTGAGAGAAATGATTGTTATTGCCACATAAGGTTATTGTTGGTTAATCGACTGTGAAACTTTATTTAGATTTCAATTTTGATCAGTAACTTGTAAGAGTTAGTGGGAAATACAAATTTATGTACTTTTCATATGATAATCAGATAAAGAATATGGTTGAGAAATAAATAATCACTTGAATAAGTATTTACTGGTAGAATAAACTTTTTTTAATGGATGTCTCTAATACTATAAGAGACTGTCAATTAAGTTATTAGGGTAAGTTACTCAGGATCGTGATCTTACTCCCTAAAGTAAATTAACAACTTTTGCACAAACTGAAGTTTGTGATTGGCCAGTTTTTTCATGTGGATTATTCAAAAGTCAGCGTTTTCGATTGGTTTTAACCTGAAAGAAGAAAAATATGCCCAACTTTCTCTCAGTCTATGGTAGTACAACTTTTTTTATTGTTGAAGGAATTTGTTTTAGCTAATTAACATTGAATGATGTTTAACAAAATAATGAAATAAATATAATAGTAATTGAGAGAATAGAAATCTATTTTCTACTTTCCATTTCCTTAAGATTTCCTAAAACGTCTAATAAACTGAAAATTGGTAATACAAGGGAAAAATGTAAAATATTACATTGAGATTGCAAGTTCCTTTAGTATTAATTAAGAATTTAAAGAATTCAGAATTTAAATAGTTAGGAATTTAAAGAATTAAGAATTTAAATAATTAGAAATTTAAAAGTAAAGGGCATATTATTCCAGTAAATAAGATGTAAATCTGTGCTAGAAGTAGAAACGATAAGAGATAAAGGAAATGGCGCACAAGTGATAATGATCTTTAACTGTTCGTATAGATACCGACCTACGTACCTACATTGGTAGCCGAGACAGTTTTGTCGCATCGTCTTGCTCGAATCTCTCTCGGGATAAATAGTTCGGTACCTGATACTCTGCTGGAGTCTCACTTGGGATTAACTGTTGCTGGGTTAACTGCATTGCACACACTGAAGAGGATGCAATCAAGACAAAATTCATCAAGTCTCGATAATTTATGATTGAAAATGAAAGTACATTGCCATTAAGAAGCTCTAATTCCAAATGACCAGCAATAACCGGGCCGTTGATGTAATTACTACTAAATTACTTAATGTCTTAGCAAAACTTCTTCTAATGAAGAAAACATGACTATGATTATTCTGTGAAAGTTTATATCTTCTTAACCAACAAAAGTTGATAAAATTAAGCTTTTTATACAATATAACGTTATACAGATGTATCTACTTATTGTTCTCACTGAGTAAGATAAAGGTTGCTGAAACAACAGGTAATTTTTATTACCAACAAACATAATTTGATGGATAAATGTAGTTATGTACTTTTAGC